GTCTGAACCCCCAAATCCCACCCCACCCCCCCAGGTACCTGCCCCAGACCCCTCTTTAACCCCTCAAATCCCACCCAACATCCCTCAGTGCTCACTCAAACCCCTTTTTGACCCCCCCAAATGCCATCCCACACCCCCAGGTACCCACTCAAACCCCTTTTTAACCCCCTAAATTCCACCCCACATCCCTCGGTGTTCACTCAAACCCCTCTTTAACCTCTCAAATCCTACCCTACATCCCCAGGTACCTGCCTCAAAGCCCTCTTGAACCCCTCAAACCCCATCCCACACCCCCAGGTGTCCACTCAAACCCCTTTTTAACTCCTCAAACCCCACCCCACACCTCCAGGAGCACTCACCTGGCCCAGGTACCTGCCCCAGACCCCTCTTTAACCCCTCAAACCCCTCTTTAACCCCTCAAACCCCTCTTTGACCCCCCAGGAGCCCTCACCTGGCCCAGGTGCTTTCCCCCAGCCCCCCTGGAAGCCCCCAGCCCCACCTCATGACCTCGGCGTAGCTCATGGCCTCGTCGATGCCGGGGAAGGCGCTCATGGCCTCCTGCATCATCTTCTTGCCCATGCTGAGCACGTTGTCCTCCTCGAAGAACTCGTCCGGCAGCTCGGCCACGCCCAGGCTGGGGTCGATCTCCTGGGGAGGGGGACGGGAAGGTGGGGAGGGGGACAGCTCAGGCCTGTGGGACCACCCCCCCATAATCCCGTCCCGGTGCCGCTCCCGGTGCCGCTCCCGGGGCCGCACCTGCAGGTGGTTTTGCCCACGCCGCCCTTGCCGCCCACGAAGATCCACTTGAGGCTGCGCTGCTCGATGATGTTGGCCAGCGTCGGCTCCAGCGGCTCCACGTCGGGCGCGTCCTCGAACTCCTCGGGGCCCTCGGCCGTCCACCCGCCCGCCGCCGCCGCCATCTTCCCCGCGCCGCCGCCCGCCGCGCGCTGATTGGCCGCCGCGCCGCCGCGCCCTCCCTTCTTCCCCTTCCCATTGGTCACCTCGCCTGTCAATCCCATCAAGGGGCGGGGCGAAGCTGAGGGAGCCCCGCGCGTTGCCGGGCAACGCCGCCCCGCCGGCGGCGGCGGGGATCTGGTGGTGACGTCACCAAGCGGCGCCGGCGGAGGTCGCGCTGATGTCATCGGGCGGCGCCGGCGGCGGTGGCGGCGGACAAGATGGCGGCGCGCGGCGAGGACCGGGAGGCTCCGGAGGCGCCCTCGCCGCCCCCGCCGGGCCCGGGCGGCGGCGTCAACGTGTTCGCCAACGACGGCAGCTTCCTGGAGCTCTTCAAGCGCAAGATGGAGGCGGAGGAGCAGCAGCGGGAGCGCGAGGCGGCGGCGGCGGCGGAGGCGTCGGGCGGCGGCGCCGGCGGTACCGGGGTGGGCCCGCAGCGCGGCGGCGCTGACGGAGCGAAGAGGAGCGGCGGCGCGCTCAGCTTCGTAAGGACGCGGCTGCCCGAGGGCCCCTCCCGGCCCCGCTCCCGCCGGCCCGGCCCGAACGCGTGAGGGGGGCACGGACCGGGGCCGCTCCCGGGGCACCGGGGCCGCTCCCGGGACACCGGGGCCCCCGCTCCCGCCGGCCCGGCCCGAACGCGTGAGGGGGGCACGGACCGGGGCCGCTCCCGGGGCACCGGGGCCGCTCCCGGGACACCGGGGCCGCTCCCGGGACACCGGGGCCGCTCCCGCGGCTCCTCCCGCGGCTCCCCGGCCGTGCCCGGAGCCGCCCGGAGGCGGAGCCGCCCGTCGCCGCTCGTTTTGCCCGGCCGAGCCCCGGTACCGGGGGGGTTCGGGGCAGCGGGCGGAGCCCCCGCGGGTCCCGGCGGTGCCGCCGCTCCTCCCGGTAACGGGGCAGGTGTGTCCCTTCCCCAGGTGGGGCGGCGGCGGGGCGGCAACAAGCTGGCCCTGAAAACGGGAGTGGTGGCCAAGAAGCAGAAAACGGACGAGGAGGTGGGGCCGGGACCGGGGGGGGAAATTCGGGGTCCCGGGGGGATTTGGGGGGTCCCGGGAGGGGAAATTGGGGTGGGGAGGGGGATTTGGGGGTGCAAGGGGGGTAATTTTGTGATGATTT